GGGCTCTGTGGGAAGAGGACTACCACCAACCTCACACGTGTGTAGTGTAGTGTAGTGTAGTGTAGTGTAGTGTAGTGTAGTCTGCCTGACTCTATCGTAGACTCTGTGAGAAGAGGCCTACCACCAACCTCACTCTAGTTTAGTGTAGTGTATTGTGTAGCGTAGTGTAGTGTAGTCTGCCTGGCTCCATCCTGGGCTCTATGGTAAGAGGCCTACCACCAACCTCACACGTGTGTAGTGTAGTGTAGTGTAGTGTAGTGTAGTGTAGTGTAGTCTGCCTGACTCCATCCTGGTCTCTGTGGGAAGAGGCCTACCACCAACCTCACACTAGTGTAGTGTAGTGTAGTGTAGTGTAGTGTAGTGTAGTGTAGTGTAGTGTAGTCTGCCTGGCTCCATCCTGGTCTCTGTGGGAAGAGGCCTACCAACAACCTCACACTAGTGTAGTGTAGTGTAGTGTAGTGTAGTGTAGTGTAGTGTAGTGTAGTGTAGTCTGCCTGACTCTATCGTAGACTCTGTGAGAAGAGGCCTACCACCAACCTCACTCTAGTTTAGTGTAGTGTATTGTGTAGCGTAGTGTAGTGTAGTCTGCCTGGCTCCATCCTGGGCTCTATGGTAAGAGGCCTACCACCAACCTCACACGTGTGTAGTGTAGTGTAGTGTAGTGTAGTGTAGTGTAGTGTAGTGTAGTGTAGTCTGCCTGACTCCATCCTGGTCTCTGTGGGAAGAGGCCTACCACCAACCTCACACTAGTGTAGTGTAGTGTAGTGTAGTGTAGTGTAGTGTAGTGTAGTGTAGTGTAGTGTAGTCTGCCTGGCTCCATCCTGGTCTCTGTGGGAAGAGGCCTACCAACAACCTCACACTAGTGTAGTGTAGTGTAGTGTAGTGTAGTGTAGTGTAGTGTAGTGTAGTCTGCCTGGCTCCATCCTGGGCTTGTGGGAAGAGGCCTACCTCCAACCTCAGACGTGTGTAATGTAGTGTAGTGTAGTGTAGTGTAGTGTAGTGTAGTGTAGTGTAGTGTAGTCTGCCTGACTCCATCCTTGGCTCTGTGGGAAGAGGCCTACCAACAACCTCACACTAGTGTAGTGTAGTGTAGTGTAGTGTAGTGTAGTGTAGTGTAGTGTAGTCTGCCTGACTCCATCCTGGGCTCTGTGGGAAGAGGCCTACCACCAACCTCACACTTGTGTAGTGTAGTGTAGTGTAGTGTAGTGTAGTGTAGTTTAGTGTAGTGTAGTGCAGTCTGCCTGACTCCATCCTGTGTTCTGTGTGAAGAGGCCTACCACCAACCTCACACTCTTGTGTAGTGTAGTGTAGTGCAGTGTAGTGTAGTGTAGTGTAGTGTAGTGTAGTGCAGTGTAGTCTGCCTGGCTCCATCCTGGGCTCTGTGGGAAGAGGACTACCACCAACCTCACACGTGTGTAGTGTAGTGTAGTGTAGTGTAGTGTAGTGTAGTGTAGTGTAGTGTAGTCTGCCTGACTCCATCCTGGTCTCTGTGGGAAGAGGCCTACCACCAACCTCACACTAGTGTAGTGTAGTGTAGTGTAGTGTAGTGTAGTGTAGTGTAGTGTAGTGTAGTCTGCCTGGCTCCATCCTGGTCTCTGTGGGAAGAGGCCTACCAACAACCTCACACTAGTGTAGTGTAGTGTAGTGTAGTGTAGTGTAGTGTAGTGTAGTGTAGTGTAGTCTGCCTGACTCTATCGTAGACTCTGTGAGAAGAGGCCTACCACCAACCTCACTCTAGTTTAGTGTAGTGTATTGTGTAGCGTAGTGTAGTGTAGTCTGCCTGGCTCCATCCTGGGCTCTATGGTAAGAGGCCTACCACCAACCTCACACGTGTGTAGTGTAGTGTAGTGTAGTGTAGTGTAGTGTAGTCTGCCTGACTCCATCCTGGTCTCTGTGGGAAGAGGCCTACCACCAACCTCACACTAGTGTAGTGTAGTGTAGTGTAGTGTAGTGTAGTGTAGTGTAGTGTAGTGTAGTGTAGTCTGCCTGGCTCCATCCTGGTCTCTGTGGGAAGAGGCCTACCAACAACCTCACACTAGTGTAGTGTAGTGTAGTGTAGTGTAGTGTAGTGTAGTGTAGTGTAGTGTAGTCTGCCTGGCTCCATCCTGGGCTCTATGGGAAGAGGTCTACCACCAACCTCACACTTGTGTAGTGTAGTGTAGTGTAGTCTGCCTGGCTCCATCCTGGGCTTGTGGGAAGAGGCCTACCTCCAACCTCAGACGTGTGTAATGTAGTGGAGTGGAGTGGAGTGTAGTCTGCCTAGTTCCATCCTGGGATCTGTTGGAAGAGGCCTACCACCAACCTCACACGTGTGTAGTGTAGTGTAGTGTAGTGTAGTGTAGTGTAGTGTAGTGTAGTGTAGTCTGCCTGACTCCATCCTGGTCTCTGTGGGAAGAGGCCTACCAACAACCTCACACTAGTGTAGTGTAGTGTAGTGTAGTGTAGTGTAGTGCAGTGTAGTGTAGTGTAGTGCAGTCTGCCTGGCTCCATCCTGGGCTCTGTGGGAAGAGGGCTACCACCAACCTGTATAGAATATAACACACAATTGCTATTAGAATATTAGGTTGTTTGTAGGCCTCTTCTCACAGAGCCCAGGAGGGAGCTAGGTAGAATAGATTAGGTAACTGTCTACCGCACATGTAGTTTATGTAGGTTGCAGGTATCTTTCTCAGATACCTTGTACCTTAGTTAAAAATTACCTTGTTGTCAAAACCGGCTTGACTCAATGGATAGAGTCTGCCTACTGAAAAGTCCCAGGTTCGATTCCTGTCAAGGTCATGTACCTCGGATGCGGGCACGTCCCTGATAGGAGGTTTGCAGGAGGCAGCTGATCGATGATTCTCTCTCGTTGATGTTTCTCATTCTTTATCTCTCTCCCTTCCTCTCTGAAAAAAATTCAATAAAATATGTGTTTTTAAAAATCACCATGGCTGTCCCCTGCAGGGGCTTTAATAGTAACAGCACAATGTCAGAAACGCTGCGATGCTTTAAGTCCTGCTCTACCCCTTCTTCCCTGCACGTTGCCACACCTAGAACACATCTTTTTCCCATGACTTAGAAATAAGACATTAAAAAACTGTGGCACACCTCCACAATGGAATACCACGCTGCTGTAATAAAGAAGGAACTCCTACCATTTGCAACAGCATGGATGGTTCCGGAAAGCATCATGCTAACCCAGTGGTCGGCAAACTCATGAGTCAACAGAGCTAAATATCAACAAGACAACTATTGAAATTTCTTTGGAGAGCCACATTTTTTAAACTTCTTCTAACTCCACTTCTTCAAAATAGACTCGCCCAGGCCATGGCATTTTGTGGAAGAGTCACACACAAGGGGCCAAAGAGCCGCAAGTGGCTCTAGAGCCACAGTTTGCCGACCACATTGCTAAGCGAAATCAATCAGTTGGAGAAAGAAATATCACAGGCTCTCCCTCATTTGTGGAATATACTGAACAACATAAATTGGTGAACAAGAACAGATCCAGAAACAGAGAAGCAATGATCCGGTGCTCACACCTCAGAGGGAAGGCAGGGGAGGGTGGGGGGGAGGGAGAGAGATCACCAAAGGACTTGTGTGCGTTCCTATAAGCATAACCAATGGACACAGAAAGTAGGGGGGCGAGTGCATGAGTGTTGGGTGGGGGGTGGAAGCAATAAGGACACACATGTAATACCTTAATAAAGAAAAAGAACTAAGACGAATATGTCTATAAGTGTCCCCGTGTGCACCAACAGCGTGTATTGTTAACAGAGTTGAGGAGACTGTAAGGTCCTTCTCTGGTCACTAGTGCAGGAAATGACCACGGCAACCGATCAGAAATTCTTTGCTGCCAGTGGGAGAGACTGTGAGCAGGGTAGATACCCCCAAGAGGAGCTTATCTTGTCAATGAACCCTCCCTAGCTCCCTCCCATTCATATTCTCTCTCTCTCTCTCTCTCTCTCTCTCTCTCTCTCTCTCTCTCTCTCCCTTCTTCCCTCCTCCCTCCCTCCCTCTCTCTCTCTCTCTCTCTCTCTCTCCCTCTCTCCCTCTCTCTCTCTCTCTCTTTCCCTCTCTCCTCCCTCCCTCCCTCCCCCTCTCTCTCCCTCTCTCCCTCTCTCTCTCTCTTTCCCTCTCTCTCTCTCTCTCATATGCCAGTTACGTGGGAATCGGTTTCATCATAAAAGTCGTAACCACACATATAGACCTCTTCCCCAACTGCATCTTGTAGCCTTTTTTTTTTTTTTTTGCTTTTACAAACACGCTTCTAAATATTTCTAAGATCCACTCTTTGTGCTCATCCGTGGCTTAAACTTGGAAAAATGAGTATTTACTCTGAAAACAGAGAGCACGGCCATTTCCTGTACCACACCGATTTGCCGTTATGTCCATGAAAGAAGACCACTGCCCTGTTATTCAGGAAAGAAAAGTTATCCTCTCCTGGCCTTGGCCTTGCCAAAGCTCTGTTCGTCAAGCATCAATCACGTGGTAGCGGGAGAGGGCGGGGCATAGCTGGGGACCAGGGTCGGCCTTTCCAGATTTGCCCCAGCAGGGCCCTGAGAGAATCATGGGCCAATCCCACCCTGTTTCCCCCTCGTAACGAGGGGGCCTAGCCTTAACCCTCTGTATCCACACCTCACCCGGGAGTGGAGGCTCTGTAGCGTGAAGGGCGCATTGCCCATCCCAGAAACCTCAGGGGCGCCCAAACCGGTGTGGCTCAGTGGATAGAGCGTCGGCCTGCGGACTGAAAGGTCCCAGGTTCGATTCCAGTCAAGGGCATGTACCTTGGTTGCAGGCACATCCCCAGTGGGGGGTGTGCAGGAGGCAGCTGATCGATGTTTCTCATCGATGTTTCCAACTCTCTATTCCTCTCTCTTCCTCTCTGTAAAAAATCAATAAAAAATATTTATTTTAAAATTACAGAAAAATAGATTCAAGCAACGGGGCCATTTCACTGACAGCCACTCACCTGGGCCTCGGCCACGGCCCCACTACTGAGGGGACGAGGAGGGGGTACGTACCCAGCAGGCGAAGGAGGAGGAAAAGCACTCCCAGCGCATATGACTTGAGTTCAGGGCTGACGGTCCTACATGCGCAGAGACGAGGAGGCAAGAGAGAGAGATTCTCATCACTCCGCTGTCACTGAGGGACCCCGAGCCACGCGCTGCGGCCCAGGGCGCCCTCCTAGGTCATTACCAGCGCGTTTCCCCTCCGCCTTCCCTGCCTGCCTAGGGTCTGGAACACAATGGTAGCTGCGGTGATAAGTTTTTAATACGCGGAGCTGGTCTCGTCGTGAAGGGCAGAGTGCAAACCGGGCCCACACAACCTCCACTGGAAGGCACCTCGCCTTGGCCCGGACAGGGCGGCATCTAGGGGTGACAGGGCCAGGTACCCGGGAACATCAGCTGGGGGGACATTCGCCCGGTGGCTCGTTGACTGGCCAGAACACGATACCGGGGTCACTCTCGGGCCCTTTTGAGAAATCAGTGGGGCCAGCAGGACGTGGCCCCCGGGTGGCCCAGAGCGGTTAACCGCCCTCTCTCCAGTCCTGTGCCTGCCCCGAGGAAAGGCACCTGGCAGCGTCACGCTTCCTCGTTGCTAACAGTCCCCGCCTCCCGGGCTTGGTCCCCCCAGGACAGTCCCTGGAAAGACCTTTCGCCCCGTCTGTCCCCTCAGAGTGCCCGCTTTCTGGGGAAATCGCTCTGGACCATTCCAACAGGGAGCTCGAAGGCCTGCTCTCTGCGGAGTGAGCGTGGCACAGCCCAAGCTGCTCAGGGCTGTGACCGGCTCCCTGCGCCCTGTTTCTGCACAGTCATTCTCCCATGAGCCCTGCTTCCACGCGTGGCGTGAGGTCTGTGGGGCTGACTCCCAGCAGCAGCCTCGGCCGCTGGCTGAGACACACACGGCTCCTGAGCTCTGTCTGCGGGAGACGTGCCGATGCGCCGGGCAGAGAGGGGCCTCGGGGTGGGTCACAGGCCCGGGGGCCTTACCGGCTCACCTGATGAGGATGATGACGGAGGGCGTCTGGGCCATGGCCCCGATCATGCTGCAGACGCACATGACGCACAGGAAGGTGAGGAAGGCCTCTTGGCAGCCGGGGCTGGGGCACTTGCCGGGGACCACGGTGGCGTTCTCGGGCGGCCCGGTGGTCAGGCACGCGCAGCCGGTGAGGTTCTGGAAGGAAGAAGCATCCGGCCCTGCTCAGCGGGCACCTGGGGCACCTACATCCCAGGCTGACCATCAGCGGGAGCTGTCACAGCCCCATGACGCATCCCGCCGCATCCCGTTAATTAGGCCCGAGCAAATGAGTTAGCGTTTTAAGAGCACATGCAGACAGAGGCATGTTTATGGGGGAGGAGAGCTGCGCCCCGTCTCCTGTGTATTCCGTTTCCCTGCTCAGGAATCCCCCCGTCGGCTGCTCAGTAGACAAATCCCCCTCCTCCACACCCCATACAATTAGAGAGGAAATTGCACTTCCACAATATAATAAAACATTGCCAATTAACACTGTAATTGCCTGCCAATTTGTCCTCTCTCTCGTGCAGTTATAATTACACGGAAGAGTATTAAAAGAAGTAAATCAGGTAACCTGCATCCCTGCTGCTGGTCCGGTGCCCGGGGTGGCACGTGGGACAAAGGCTGTGCCCTGTCAGGGGTGACGTGGCTGCCGTCGTGGGGCCCAGAGGGGGGGGAGGGAGCTCAGGGAAGGCTCTCGAGGGGCCAGAAGGCGAAGAGGGCTAAGAGCTGGGGAGCACCCTGATCGCATGTGACCGGAGAGGAGGGAGAACAGCCGCTGTGGCCCCTGTGGCTTGCCTCCCGGGATTCCTGCCAGCCGCCCAGGGACCTCGCTCCCGCTCCAGGAATTAAAGGGAGAGACGGTGCCTGGCGAGCGCCAAGCCAATCAAGGTAGGGTAATAACAGCGCAGGCCCTTTAAGGAATGTGGAATGAAAAAGTCATCAACAACTCACTGCTCTCCCTCCCATGGTGCTCAGCTGTCAGCACACACGAGTGCATCTTCCTGAGGATCGTCCCCATTCTAACATCCTTCGCCCAGCCCCTCCCTCCTCTCCTCCTTCTTCTCCCTTCTTTCCTTTACCCACAGAGCATGCGGCAGGCCTTGCTTATCCCTCAGAGTCACGTGGATGTTTGCAGAGATGTCCAAAGCCTCTATGCCCGCCTCCGACAGCCCCCCCTTGGTGACTGAGCTCTGCACAGGGGCTTTATCCAGGGGCTGAGGTTTGGGGACCCATTGGGCTGGATCCTCTGTCCTAAGCGGTCTGCTCAGAGCCGGTGCCTTGGTGTGATGACAGCACCAGAACGTAACCCCCAGACAGACCGAAATGCCCAAGTTCAACACGAGTCACAACACAGCGAGAAATAAAGTTTTGCAGCCACCTGAGTGCCTACCTACGGGGATTGGTTACACAGTGGAATACTATACAGCTGTCAAAAAGGCAGGCGAGTGCTCTCCAAGTACTAATATGAAAAGAACTCTGAGGTAAGTCACTGACAGCAAAACCCTGCAAACATCAGGTACGGAATAAGACCCTAAACGTGCACGGAAATCCAGAAGGATAGTCTGCAAGAAACCAGTCACAGTATCACCCCCTGAGCAGAGTGGGGTTGAAAAGTCCGAGAGGTTGAAAGGAGAATAGAAATGCCTTCATTTCTATACTTCCTGATTTCTGGACCATACGAATGTATCATTTCTAGAAAACGTTAAAAAGTCTAGAACTTTAAAAAAAATAAATAAATAAACCAACAAACGAACAGCACAGCCCCTGAGAAGCATACGCCTGTGCCACAAAGCAGACGTTAATTTGCACTGAGAAATGTTTCTATTCACATCCGATGATGGGGATAAATAATTACAATAAAAGCCGAGACCACAAAAACAGAGAAATGACTCTCTGGGATCCTGGATCCGTTTTTCTGCTGCTGAAGGAAGGCGTGCGCGGGCTGTTTTGACAGCTCCCGTTACAAACACAAAGTAGGCGTCAGCGGTGTCAAAGACACCGGCGGGTAAAGTTGTTTTTGTGTGGGTTTCCCCGCGTTCAGCACTAATGGGTCCATTTCTGTTCATCGTACAAATAAGCTGATTTCTAATTGGAAGATTGCTAAGCCGACAGTGATGCGGGAGAGGGTGTTCTATGCACTGAGTCTGATGGGAAACCGGGGGAAGTGGAGTCCGGCCGGTGTGGCTCAGTGGGTTGAGCGTCGACCTATGAACCAGGGGGTCACAGTTTGATTCCTGGTCAGGGCACAGACCCTGGTTATCGGCTCCATCCCCAGTGGGGAGCATGCAGGAGGCAGCTGATGGATGATTCTCTCTCATCATTGATGTTTCTCTCTCTCTCTCCCTTCCCCTCTGACATCAAGAGAAACATATAAGCCCTCGTCCTGTATCTGAGACAGGGCCGTGGTCCTCCCTCCATGGGACATGCTCCTCACCGAGGCGGCAGAGGGCAGGCGACACCATGAGGCACTGGGACGCTGTCCTGAGTGCCACCTGCTCCTCTGTGCTCAGACGTTACGATGTCTGGGCCAGAGAATGCTCTAGAATAGATCCCCTGGTCTCAGGGCCCTCCCTGGACTTAACTCTCCTAACAGGACAATAACCGACACCCACTTACAATAGAACTCCTTGAATATTAACGACATTGTTGTCATGAGAAAGAATAGCTTGTGCTTTTATTTTCACCCCTCTCCGGGCTCCTTCCCTTTGTTAAAAAAAAAAAAAAAAATTCATTTCCGCTCACATAAAGAAACTGCTTTATCATCTCATTTAAGAAATCAGTTCTTCTCCGCCCACCCCCACGGTGATTTATTTTCTCTGTAGAAAAAAAAAAAAAAAGTTAATAACTGGCGAGGAATCTAAATGTTTAAAAGCAAAGGAAAATACATCTTGGGAAATGAAAATAAACGACCAGTGTTTGCTACTGCAAAATAAATAAATAAATAAGTGAAAATAAATAAATGGCTGCTCCCCAGACACAGGACGTGGCCAGGACAGGAAGCAGGTGACTTCCCCTCGGTGCCCGGAGGCCAGATAAGCCCTTTCCTTCTCTGGCCTCCCACTGGGCATCCCTGGCTCCCAGGAAAGAGCAAAGGTGGATACCAGCAGGCCTCGGGCTGCCTTGAGAAGCCGGCCTGGAGCTGAGACTGTGGCACCACTGGCCTGCAGTTCCTCTCCTCCCTGGCCGCCTCCTCCAGGCAGGCCGCCAGGCCCACAAAACACGTTGCCGGAGCGGGGCAGGCTGAGAGAAGACGCAGCGTGGTTGCCTACCCCTACCCCTGACCCTGGGGTGTCAGCTGCCCCGAGGAAGCCACGTACCGCGCTGCTGCAGCCGGCGAAGCAGGCAGACAGGTAGGTGACGCCGTCCGTCCCGCACACGGGCGTGAAGGAGTCGGTTTGGCATTCACAGTTTTTATTGCAGGGCGAGTGGGGGTCCAGGGCTGCGCCGGGTGCTGAGCTGGAAAAGGAAGAACACGGAGCCTGTCAGACAAACACCAGCTTCCCCGGGCCCCTCAGGGACATCTCTCTGCTGGGATGTGTCACCCCCTTGCTTTGCCTCCTCTTAACCCGCTGGTCCTGCGAGGTGCAGCCCGGAGCCACCGCTGAGCGTCTGCGGGCTGTCCCCGCACCACGGAGCCAGGCTGGCTGGCTGGCTGGCGGGAGCTCCGCTCAGGGCCACCTCCTCCATGCCGCCTCTCCGGATTACCACGGCCTCCACTGGCCCAACAACCCCACCGGGCACAGCTGACCCCTAACCCCTCTTCAGTCCTGGTCTCTGATTCCTCCCAGCAGCCAGCCAGCCTCCTGGTGCCACACAAGCACCTATGACCAGGCTGCCTCAGCAATGACGGTATGCCTGAGTGTGATTTCCTGTGAAAAATAACACTGAGCTATTTTAAATTTGCTTTTGCGCCACTCAAGGCACAGTGACCTTCAGCAAGCAAACTGCAAAGAGGAAGGGGCAGAAGGGGTGTTTTTGGTGTGTAAGAGGGACAGGGTCTCTCCCCTTGAGCCCAGCTCCACTTCAGCTTCTGGCTTAACTGCAGAAGTGGGCCTGGCGGCCTGCCTGGAGGAGGCGGCCAGGGAGGAGAGGTACTGCAGGCCGGCGGTGCCACAGTCTCAGCTCCAGGCCGGCTTCTCAAGGCAGCCCGAGTCCCACGTAGAAAAGGGGAAGTTGTCATCTACGGGGAGTCACTAGGGAGTCAGCAAAGTGACCCCATGAACCTAAGTTCCTTCCCTCGCCTCTCCCTCCTCTCCTTTTTACTCTGCCTCCCACACTTACCCATTCCTACCCGGGCCGGAGCCTGTAATTACCCTGTGAGCGTCATAACAGCTCCTAATAGTCTAGGGAAGTGTTGATGCCTGTTCCATCCTTTACTTGAAGGCGAATATGACAATAAAATTCATTTTTATTTCCGATCCTCACATCATTCCCATCGTCAGATGTGAGAAGCAGTGATGTGAGTCGCCCGGGGAGGGATGTCTGACCGGCTGCCCTGGAAGAGCCGTCCAGGGGAGCGGTCTGCCCTCCCGGCCCGGGGGTCCCCGATTCTCTGACCTTGGGAGTCAGAGGCAGAGGCGCCCGGGGCCCGGGACGGAGCCTGCCCGGGGAGGGAGCCGGCTGCGGGCCGCCGGGCGAGGCGGGCGTCCGGGGACTCACGTGTTTCCATAGGGAACCGTGACCCCGGCCACGGGGCCCGTGTCGCAGCCCAGGAAGAGGAAGGAGACGTAGCACGCCGTGGACACCAGGTTGACGAGCATGGCCATCCGGATGGCGCCCAGCGCCGACAGGCTGAACTTCTTCACCAGCAGGCCGCCCAGGAAGATGCCCAGACAGGCGCAGGGGATGGCGGTCATCCCTGGATGGAGGGCAGAGGGCAGGGGGGCATGAGCCGGGCAGCGGGGCCTCCCTCCCGGCCTCCCTCCCGGCGCCCACGTCTCCACCAGGGGCCTCATCGCAGCCCCAGGAGCTCACAGAAAGGTGGGGAGACAAAACACGTACCAACTTAGCTCCCGGGCGTCTGAATGCGCCCCCTATTGTGTGAGTGGGGTCCCTGCATAGACACGGCCGGGAGACAAAGACACACAGGGTGGGATGTGCGTGCACACGCACTGAGAAAGGAGGGCCAGGAGCTGGGCTCTCCCTGCTGCTGAGCGACTGAGTCCTGGGGCTGCCACTCACAGGGATGTCCCACCTCTTCCAACCAGGCCAGGAGGGCTCCGAGGAGGGGCCAGGAGGCTGTTTGACCGAAGGGCCCACAGCCGCCAGCCCCAGACGGCGCTCTAAGCAGCCCCAGAGCCTCATAGGAAAGAGCACCAAGCCAGGGTCTGTCTGTCTGTCTGTCTCTCTCTCTCTCTAAACAGAGCAGTCTGCAAGGCAGCAGGCCCATACCTTGTTATTTATGATTCTCAGACTCCTGGGGTTTTAGGGGGACCAATGCGCTTCACTGAAAACTGGAATTTAAATGACCACGGGCGTCGTCTGTCCACGGGGTGGACTGTGTGGCCAATTTCCCGGCCCAGTGGGCCTCCTCCTTGCAATCCACAGAGTCTAGGCCAGTTGACTACATCAACCAGCGGCTATGGGCTCAGGGAATGCAAATTAACTTAATTTAATTTGATTTGATTATTTTTATTTATTTATTTCTTTATTTATTGCATATTAATTTTAATAGCCGAGTCAGAAAAATATCATCAGGGAGATTGAGCTCTGTAAGAAAATAGCACAGGGTGGAAGGGAGAGGGAGAGGGAGAGAAACATCAATGATGGGAATCATCAATCAGCTGCCTCCTGCACGCCCTCTGCTGGGGATGGAGCCTGCAACCCGGGCATGGGCCCGTGACCGGGAATCAAACCGTGACCTCCTGATTCCTAGGTTGACACTCAACCACTGAGCCACACCGGCCAGGCTCTGGACTGCTCTTGTCGAGTTGACTGAGCAGGACAGGCTCCCCCACCCTCTTTGGGGGGGCGGAGGCGGACTCACCGAGCAGCTGGTTGGCAGACGAAGTGGTGAGATTGAACTGCTGCTCCAGGTACTTGCCCAGGAAGGCGGCGAAGCCGGCCACCACGGCGATCTCCATGCAGGCGGCCAGGACGATGCAGGTGAACACGGGGTTGGAGAGCAGGTGCTTGGTGACCTTGGGGATCACTGAGGGGGAAAGAAAGCAGGGGTCAAGGTCACACACACTGCACTCCCGGGCCCTCTGCCCCCAACCACCCTCACTAACTGGAGCTCACGGACTCCTCAGCAGCCTGCCCGGCACAGGCCTGGGAAGAAGGCAGGCAAATCAAGGTCGGTTCTGCCTCCTGCTCCCTCCCCCCAGCCCGTGCTGATCGCCAGCGCCCCCCTGCCCTCGATCACCCCTCACCCCGGCCGCCTGAGGCCGAACCTCACCTTTGAGCTGCTGGAAGCAGGAGGCGCTGCTGTCAGGCTCCAGCGGGTGCCGCAGCACCCCGTTGCTGGGCGGGGGCCTCTCGTACTCCCTCTCGGGGAGCATGGCCTGCTCGCTCTCCAGGGCGGGGTCGGCGTGCAGGGGCAGAGACTGCGGGAACCCGAACATCAGGAGGGAGGAGAAGAAGAGTAAGGCACCACAGAGCAGGAAGCCGGCCCACCAGGCTCCGATCCAGCGGGGGTCGTCCGGGGTGATGTCCAGGTTACCTGCAGCCGGGAGAGCGCGGTCAGCGGAGGGGCGGCCGGGCCTGCCCTTGGCCGAGGCTTTGAGTAGGTGCTCAGACGGGCCGAGACTCTAAAGGGCCTGGGTCGGGGGACTGGACAACGGGCAGAGAAGCCTGTCCTTCCCATATCGGTGCTTCCCAAACCCAAGACTGATCACGTTCCCCCTTGATTCCAGATTCTTCTCTACCCTGTACTGCATCGGGCTACACAAATCCAGCGAGAACCCACACACCTTCTGAATTTAGACTGGAATGCTCTGGCTCTGTGAGCTAACACACACACACACACACACACACACACACACACACACACACACACTTATTACCCAAGGCTATAGTTTTACTAGGTACACTCATTTGCAAAGCAGTTCATCTGAGATCCCATTCAACACCCCTCTCCCCTGCTTAAAAAATACATATTTAGTGAGAGGAAGGGAGAGGGAGAGGGAGATTGAAACATCGATGATGAGAGAGAATCATGGATCGGCTGCCTCCTGCACGTTCCCTACTGGGTGTGCGACCCCTCATATTCACTCCCACAGACCAGACAGTCCTAAGGAGGGGGGGGGGGCTCGGTCTGGGTGAGGAAACAATAGAGGAGGGTCATTCCTAAACAAAACCAAGGGCCCCTCCTCAGAGCACAGCCCCAACCCATTCAGAGACAGCAGGAAAGGCAGAGAAAGAGAAAAATTGCTCCAGAATTCCCTGCGGGTTTCCCCGGCACAATTCATTGTATTCTCCTGCCCTCTGCTGGTGGGAAACCGCACCAGCAGGCCATGGCCTTCAGAGGGGAAGGGGACAAAGACAGGGAGTGACTCCCATTCCTCCCAACACCCCTCAGACCCACCGTGAACTTGGCTGGGGGAGGCTGTCGTCAGCAAGACGGACAGGAGGCTCCTGAGCCTGGACCCCAGAGGTGGCTTCGCGCTGGGCTCCGGGCTCCGAGGTGGGAGAGGAGGGACAGAATGAAGTGGAGACAGACAGAAGGAGGAGGAGGAGGAGGAGGAGGAGGAGGAGGAGGAGGAGGAGGAGGAGGAGGAGGAGGAGGAGGAGGGCAAAGGCGGGGCACCCCAGGGGACCAGGAGCAGACGAGCTAAGCCGCCTCCAGCCAGCTGGCCAGGCCTTGCTAATGGGCACTAAGATGCCAGCTCCTGCCCAGGGGGGCTGTGGGCATGGGACCCCTGAAGGGGAACTGCCCTCACGCCGACCCAGGGCGCCTGGGTCTACACAGACACACCCCTTGGCGGGGACGTCCCTGCCCCTCTCTCGGCCTCAGTTTCCTCCTTTGTACACATGATGTCTGGGGATCATTTTTGTCAGATAAGAGGGTTCATGTGTTGTTTCCCTGACCTTCATCCCCTCGGCATAGAGTTCAAAGGGCCAATCAACTCTAGACCCAGGCCTTTGAAGAAGAAGGAAGGCCACGTCTGAGTCCCCCCCCCCCCTTGGAAATTTGTAACATCATTAGCTACAAGTAAATACATCAGCGGGATTAATGGAGTGAATCCCGGCGACTTGATTGGATTTAGAGTCGCATTATTTCTTTGGGGTGAAGCAGTCAATGGGCGCTGGCGGGCGATGATGGATGGAGGGCTCGGGGGACTGGGAGTTCTTATTGATCCCAAGGATGGCTTGGCGGGAAGAGGTGGGATCGCTTCCCATGTGCTGTCTCCAGAGAAAGAGGCCACGTGGCTCCACATTCATGTCACCCTCTGGGGCCTGAGCCAGAGCGGTGCCCCCCAGGCAGGCTGTTACTGGCCTGGGTATTCGCATCCTTGTGCAGTCATCCCTTCTCTCGCGTGGCACACACAGAATACGGCAGCACGGAGGTGGCACCTCAGAGGCTGGGTTATAAAGACTGGCTTGGCCCAGTTGGCCCGGCTCCATGGCTGAGCACCGACCGATGAACCCAGAGGTCCTGGTTCGATTCCTGAGCAGGGCACATGCCTGGGTTGTGGGCTTGGCCCCCAGTAGGGGGCGTGCAGGAGGCAACTGATATCTCTCTCCCTCTCTCTCTCATCCATGTTTCTATCACTCTATCTCCCTCCCATCCTCTCTCTAAAATCAATAAAAACCTTTATTTTTAAAATATATATATATTTTATTGATTTTTTTACAGAGAAAAAGGGAGAGGGATATAGAGTTAGAAACATCGATGAGAGAGAAACACCGATCAGCTGCCTCCTGCACACCCCTCACATGCCCTTGACCAGAATCGAACCTGGGACCTTTCAGTCCGCAGGCTGACTCTCTATCCACTGAGCCACACCGGTTTCGGCAAAACCTTTTTTTTTTTTTTTTTTTTTTAAGAGAAAAGAAAAAGGTGCAGTCCTCACCCAGGTTCACGGACCAGCATTCAGTGAGCACTCGCACATGCCTGGCCTCTCCATGTCTAGTTTCTCATTCATTCGTTCTCACCACAGCCCAGCGAGGAGGCTACCATGGCCACTGCCACTCACTGGCAGGGGCGGGGCAGCACCCAGCATGGGAGCTGGGTGCTCTCCTGCCCTCTGCTGGTGGGAAACCGCACCAGCAGGCCATGGCCTTCAGAGGGGAAGCAGACAAAGGCTCAGCAGACACTGGCAGAGCAGGGACGTCGGTCCAGGCCCCCTGAACCCGACTCGTGCTCCTTCCTTCTGAGCTCAGGCGGGCCGCCATATGCCCTCACAGGTGCACGCAGTAGGGCTGCCCCCAGCTAGGATGATCTCAGAACCACAGGCTGATCGCTCCTTTCCCAGGCAGGGCAGGGGGGTAGGGGAGAGGGGAGCTTGTGACAGCACCCAGAAACCCAAGGGTCCTCCTTACTTGTATCGATGAACACAGCGTCCACGTAGATTTTGGTACAGAAGGAGCCCAGGATGAACCCGCAGGCGGGTCCGAACACCAGCATTGTGAAGAGGATTCCTGGAGAGAGAACAGGAGACGGAGATCAGATGACAAAGCCCAGGTCGTTCCATGAGCAAAACAGTCAAAGGGCAAGGCCATGGCTCCAGTCAACAGGATGAGATGTCTGGTAACACAAACCATGTTGCAGGAATCAGTCTAAAATCCTAGAGGGGAAAAGCTTGCATTTCTAATTTTCGGCCTGTATTATGCAGATATCCTAATATATATATATATATCTTAAATATAGTTTATTGATTTTTACAGAGAGGAAGAGAGAGGGATAGAGAGCTAGAAACATCGATGAGAGAGAAACATCAGCTGCCTTTTGCACACACCCCCATTGGGGATGTGCCCGTAACCAAGGTACATGACCTTGATTAGAATCGAACCTGGGACCCTTCAGTCAAACCTGGGACCTTTGAGTCCACAGGCCGCTCTATCCACTGAGCCAAACCGGTTTCAGCTCTCATAATATTTTAAAAATATATTTTGACTTATTTCAGAGAGGAACGGAGAGGGAAAGAGAGAGAGATCCATCAATGATAGGAGAGAACCACTGATAGGCTGCCTCCTGCACGCCCCCTACTGGAGAGTGAGCCTGCCACCCGGGCATGTGCCCTGACTGGGAATTGAACTGTGACCTCCTGGTTCACAGTGGACACTCACCCACTGAGCCACACCAGCTGTGCGAATCCTGTAATATTTTGATTGGTCACTTAAACATGTTTGTGGGTCCCACACTTGCTTTCCAAGAATGCCACCCGCATCGCATCAAGCATATTAAAATACAGCCATGTCTATCATCAAGCCATTTTCTGCCACAAACATTTTTGAAAGAATTTTTATGATTTTGCCTTTTCCTTTATTTGGCACTATGTAGTTTGCTTAATTTATGGTTGGCTACGATTTCTCAGCACCCACTGTGTGCACACTCAGGAATCCTTGCACGGAAGAAAAATTGAGGCCACAGATTATTTCCAAATGTGATGAGATGTTTACGGGCGTGAAATTCAGCACGTAACAAAGCTGACCCAATGGCGGGCTCTGAGACCATCGGATGAGGTAGGTATCCATTGCGATGTTGCAGATTTGAGAGCTCCTACCTGTTGTTATTCCGACAGTGGCTCGGGAGTCAGACTACTCTGTTGACTTAAAAAGATGGTACTAACACGGCCTGTGTGGCTCAGTGCCCCGGGTCCCAGGCCCAGCTCCGGTCCCTTCCTGGCCACGGACCTGAGGCCACAGTGGCCTCATGGACAGCCTGATTTGCTGGCAGGGACCGGTGGAACTGAGGGCTGTGTGCGTGACAGAGGACAGATGGCTTCAGGGGTAGATTTGCGGATAACAACCTTGAGGAAACAGACAAAGATCTCTACGTAGCTTCTTGCTGGCCAGGGCGCGTGGGCGAGTGCCTCGGCCTCTTTAGACCGGAAGAAGTTTAGCTGGTCCTTTGTTTTATCCGGGTATGACGGGACTCTCAGAACGGCGTACAGCCCACCGTTAGCTTACCACCCTGAGGCAATGTCTTTCTGCAAGTCGTCCCCTCTGAGTTACCTGAGCACAAACAAAAATACTCATGACCACTAACCAGGTTCACTGTACCATACTCTTGTTATAAACGAGAGGCCCGGTGCACAAACTTGTGCACAGGTGGGGTCTGCCGGCCCGCCCCAATTGGGGCTGACTGGCCAGGGGGAGGGGCCGTGGGCAGTTGGCTGGCTGGCCCCACCCCCTGGCCAAACTCCTGGTAGAGGGGACAATTTGCAATATTAGCCTTTTACTATATAGGATGGAAGAACAGAGGCTCAGAGAGGTTAGTCCATTGCCTCAGGCCACACAGCGCATACATGACAGAGGTGCCTTTGAACCCAGGCTCCAGGGCTACCAGAGAAAGACCAGGAGGCGAACCCGGGGACAGCAATGACACCGCTGCCTGAATCAGCCAGACCTCAGCTGAGCGTGCAAAGGAGATCCGCCTTGAAGCACACTGGGGGTTAGGTGCCGCGCACACAAAGCATCTGGGCCTGGGACATGCATCCTAGAACCCGTTCTGTGTCTCAGGGATGTTGAGTCCCAGGAGCTGCAAGCAGAGTCCTTCTAAGTCCCTTCAAGTGGATGGAGTGCAGACGGCTGTGGCTGTGGCTCTTCGCCCCTAGAGGGCAGCATCAGCCTAGAAAAGACAGAGCCTGGGCTGTGCCCACCACTTCCCAGCTGCCCGTGAAACATGATGCCAACTCCCCGGTTGGCATAATATTGTTCTCACTCTTCCTTGCCCTCCGTGCCCTCAACTGATACAAGTGTGTTCCTCTGTCTTCAAATATGCAGGCTGAAATGTCCCCCCTGAGGAGGAGCGTTCTGCATCACACATGCATGAAGAAAACACGATCCATCAACAGCAGGGAGCCTGCGAAACATGGGATACATATGACCCAGCCTGTGTGGCTCAGTGGTTGTATGCTGACCCATAAACCAGCAGGTCGGGGTTCGATTCCCAGTCAGGGCAGATGCCCAGGTTGCAGGCTTGGTTCCCCAGTAGGGATGTGCAGGAGGGAGCTAATCGATGATTCTCTGGAGGAGACAGAAGGAACTCAGATACATCTACACATACCCATGGCGACTTTGCCCCTTGTTCAGCATTGGGGAGCCTCTGGGCCTTAGTTTACCCACCCTCAACTCAACAACTCAACAAGACTGGGGTCCCCCATTGGTGGAAATAGAAGGCTCAGGCATTTCCTCTTATCTGCCACCAGAGGGCGCCAGACACCTTCTCATGCCAAGTACTGCTCTTCCCGTGTGGCTGGAGGTTTGCGGTTCCAGGTAGGAAAGTTCCTGGCAGGAAGGCACGGTGGCAAATGATTGGGCAGATCTGTGGACAGTACTGAAGGTCCTCACGCTATTATCTGGCAAGAAAACAACCACTTCCAAATGCCTGAACCTTAGAAATCATACTCGATCATGTACTAGTAATCTATGATACACTAATAAAAGAGAAATATGCAAATTGACCATACCTCCATGACACCCACAGGCAAATCAGAAGTGAATATGAAAATTAACCCAACAAAGATGGAGGGTTAATTTGCATGTGCAGGTGCAAAGCACTGGGTGAACAGAAGCCTTAGGCAGGTGGCAACTGGAGCCTCCAGTTTCTCTCTTTCTTTTTAAATGTAAATGTTTATTTATTTCAGAGAGGGAGGGAGGGAGGGAGAGAGAGTAACATCAATCGGCTGCCTTCTACTTGCCCCCCACTAGGGATTGAGCCCACAACCCGGGCATGAGCCCCAACTGGGAATCGAACCGGGACCTCTTGGTTCAACCACTGAGCCACACCGGCCGGGCGACAGATACTGTTAAGGGATGAAAAGCTTCAAACATACAGGTAAAGAGAACAGACGGAACTAATAAAGACCCAGAGACCCATCACGAACTCAAAAAAGTGTCAACCATTCACTCACGGTCCGTTGCCCACATACACGCCCATCTGCGTCTCCCGCCTGTGTGTTACTAACGCACACCCCTGACCCTTCCATTTCCGGACCCATCTTTAAAAGAGGAAGACACAAGCACCAAGCTACAATCACACTCCCAGCATGACAGTGACACTTCACATGCTGAGACTCTGCAGCGGGGGGTGAAGGGGGGGAGGGAGGAGAGTGGGAGGTTAGGAGAAGAGGGGGTTGGCGTTAAACCCTGGCGCTCCGAGCGGGGCTTCCCTGAGAACACGGTGTTGAGAAGGAGACCTTCTGAATGGGAGCCTCCTGTACTTCCCACTCCCCTTTGCCTGCTCGGGAGGGAGGCTTGCTCACAGAGCCGTTTTTGAACGAGCCTGGTGCCCACCCCACCTCCTTCCTGCTCTGACCTCCTGGATTCTAATCTCGGCAGCAGCCCAGTACAATTCCCTGCTTCTATACAATTTCCCTGCTTCCCTTTCTTGCTATGAAAGCGTAAACATTATCGTCACGAAATAGTTTTATGCTTTATTTTTAGCCCTTTGGGGAGGGGAAGGCGAGAAAGGAACCGAGACAGTGGGCTGGTGTCACCTGGGCGGGCGGCCCTCAGCCCCCTCGGGGGAAGGAAGGGGGGTTCCCCGTGAGTCCCGCGCTGACTCATCTATACTCGGCAGAACTGTGGGGGCTTTCAGATGAGAGAGAAAGATGAATGGGACAGGACACGTTCTGAAGGCCGCCTCCTCCCCCAGCAGGCCTGGCCCCCTCGGCCCGGGGCCCCGGGCCCTGTGGATGGGGGTGGATTTTGACGGAGCTGGGACCGAGGGCTGAACGGCGCTAGATCACATGGGGACCCCCAAATCGATGCCCCTATCCGCAGAGTACTTCATCTCATCCTGACACCCCTATACTCTGCCCATGGGGTGGCCTACTCAGATCATCGCACAGCCTCACCACCGCCGCTGGGACAGGCGCAGAATTCCCGCTGGGAGGGCTGTCCTGTGCCTCGTAGGATGGTAACATCACCCCTGGCACCGACTTGTTAGAGGCCCCTCATTCTGACAACCCCAAATGCCTCCAGCCACTGCCAGTGCCCCCCGCCCCCTCCTCCAGGGACAGAGTGCCCTGACCGAGAACCGTGAGTTTAGGGCACGGGCTCACCAGGGCAAGAACCTCCGTCTATTCCTTTTGCTTCCCTACAGCCCAGCACAGATTAGGGATCCCCCAAACCTGTGCATCGCTCAAGAGTCACCCTGTGAGACAGGCGTGGGACCCCTCACGTCACAGACGAACAAACGTGGCCCAGCGAGGTTCCCACCTCCTGGGTCACATGGCTGAGAGCCCCACAGCTGCCCTGGCCCCTGTCGCCTGGGGAGCGGGCTGGAGCTGGCTGGTTGGAGCTTCATCCGGGATTCTTCCACTTTCTAGCTCTGGGCGCCGAAGGATGGAGCTGCTGATGCCACTTGGGCCGGAAGGAAGGCCTACTGCACGAATCTTTGTGCATCGGGCCTCTAGTATGATAATAACCGTGTTATCTCAACCACTCACCTCCTTGACATATTCCCTGTAATT